TCTGGTCATCTTCTTCTTTAAGCTGACTGACGCCGTGGCCTCTGTGCCCGATACGCGTGTTCCGCTCGGTCCTGGCGTTTAAACGCGGGACGTAAATTAGGAAACTCTTCCGCTTTTAACTCTCTCTCTCTTTCCTGTCATGCAGGCTGCGGCGTCAGCGCCAGGGACTCGCTTCCACCCCGTATCCCTGGCCTTCAAGAACGTCACATACACGGTGACGCTGGGGCGAGGCAAGTCGAAGACAAACAAGCTCATATTGGATAACCTCACAGGATACGTCAAGGCGGGCTCCTTCCTTGCCATTATGGGCCCCTCAGGTGGGATGCTTGTTGCTGCTTTACGCTTCGTTCGTAGTTACCCTTCAGGGATACGTAACGTCAAGGCGGCTCCTTCCTCGCTATTATGGGCCCCTCAGGTTAGTCATTTCCGGTCCAGAGCCTTGTTTACAGCTGACCTTCCACTCTCATTCTGGATAACCTCACGGGATACGTCAAGGCGGGCTCCTTCCTCGCCATCATGGGCCCGTCAGGTGCGGTATTTTGTTACGTTTCGTTCGGGTCGTGTAACTTTTCGCCATCAACCTCACGGGATACGTCAAGGCTGGCTCCTTCCTTGCCATCATGTTTGCAGTTAAACTTTCGCTCTCTCATTTCGAAACGGGCTTCCCAACCTCCCTATCGGGGCAGGTGCTGTGCTGTTCAACGCACAGGCGCCCCCACCTCTCTAGGGGGACAGGTGCTGGTGAACGCACAGGCGCCCCCACCTCTCTAGGGGGACAGGTGCTGGTGAACGCACAGGCGCCCCCACCTCCCTAGGGGGACAGGTGCTGGTGAACGGGCGGGCGCGGGACGAGAGCTTCAGGCAGTACCCCTCATCTGCCCCTGTTTCCCCCTTCCCTGCTTGCCCCTCCAGGCTCCGGAAAGACAAGTCTGCTGAACGTGCTAGCAGGCCGGGTGATGAAATCTGGAGCTAAAACCTCCCTGTCCGGGCAGGTGCTGGTGAATGGACGCCCAAGAGACGAGAGCTTCAGGCGCATCTCGGCGTATGTGATGCAGGACGACCTCATGTTCTCCACGCTCACAGTCTGGGAGACGCTGCAGACGGCCGCCATGCTGCGCCTGCCGTCGTCCACGCCCAAGGCGCAGCGCCTGCAGCTGGCCGAGTCCATCATTGCGGAGCTGGGGTTGAGCAAGGCGAGAAATACTCCGATCGGAAATGAGATGATCCGTGGGGTTAGTGGTGGGGAGCGCAAGCGGACGAATATTGCAGTGGAAATGCTCTCCAACCCTTCGCTCGTGTTCCTTGGTGAGTTGAAATGCTCCGTGAAAAAAGGAGTGTTTTGAGACGTCTCAAAGCTCTCCAACCCTTCGCTCGTGTTCCTTGGTGAGTTGAAATGCTCTCTCTACCTTTCTTGCGATACTCTCTCTCTCTCTCTCTCTCTCTCTCTTTCCTAAGAACATGTATTGCCTATTGCCCAACCCTGTCCCCTCATCCCCCTCCGCCCCCCCCCTCTCAGAGCCTACATCAACGCGATGAGCGCACTCTCTGACCTCTCCTTTTGCAATCATTCCTATTGCCCTGATCCTTCCCCTCCATTCCTCCCCTTTCCCCCCTCTCTTCAGACGAGCCCACGTCCAGGCTGGACAGCTTTCAGGCGCTCAACGTGATGAGTGCGCTCTCTGATCTCTCCGTAGCGATCATTCTTAATTGCCCTACCCCCCCCTCTCCATCCCCCCACCCTCCTACCCCCCCTCCCCACTTCCCTCCCTTTCCAGACGAGCCCACGTCCGGGCTGGACAGCTTCAATGCGCTCAACGGGATGAGCGCACTCGCTGATTTCTTGATCTCGTGAGAGTATCGGTTGACTTTTGAGTCGACTCAAAAGTAACGTGATGAGCTCACTCGCTGATCTCTTGATCTCGTGAGAGTATCGGTTCCCTGAAACCATGCATTTTCGCCTGCCCCCGCCTCCCTCATCCCCCCTCTCCTTCCTCCACTTCAGACGAGCCCACGCCCGGGCTGAACAGCTTCAATGCGCTCAACGGGATGAGCGCACTCGCTGATTTCTTGATCTCGTGAGAGTATCGGTTCCCTAAAACATGGCATTTTTGCCTGCCCCCGCCTCCCTCATCCCCCCTCTCCTTCCTCCACTTCAGACGAGCCCACGTCTGGCCTGGACAGCTTCCAGGCGCTCAACGTGATGAGTGCGCTCTCTGATCTCTCCAAGAGCGGCCGCACCGTCATCTCCACCATCCACCAGCCGCGCTCCTCCATCTTTGCCCTCGTGAGTGGGCGGCTTGAATTGTATACATTCGTCTTAGAGGTTCTCTCATGGCGCATCCCTAGGCCGTACGTGCATGTACCGTCATCTCCACCATCCACCAGCCGCGCTCCTCCATCTTTGCCCTCGTGAGTGGGCGGCTTGAATTGTATACATTCGTCTTAGAGGTTCTCTCATGGCGCATCCCTAGGCCGTACGTGCATGTACCGTCATCTCCACCATCCACCAGCCGCGCTCCTCCATCTTTGCCCTCGTGAGTGGGCGGGTTGAACCGTATAAGTTCGTCTTAGAGGTTCTCTTATGGCGCATCCCTAGGCCGTACGTGCATGTACCGTCATCTCCACCATCCACCAGCCGCGCTCCTCCATCTTTGCCCTCGTGAGTGGGCGGCTTGAATTGTATACATTCGTCTTAGAGGTTCTCTCATGGCGCATCCCTAGGCCGTACGTGCATGTACCGTCATCTCCACCATCCACCAGCCGCGCTCCTCCATCTTTGCCCTCGTGAGTGGGCGGGTTGAATTGTATAAGTTCGTCTTAGAGGTTCTCTCATGGCGCATCCCTAGGCCGTACGTGCATGTAACGTCATCTCCACCATCCACCAGCCGCGCTCCTCCACCTTGGCCCTTGTAAGCACATTCAAGCTTCCCACCATCCACCATCTCAACCCCTATCTCTCCCCTATTCCCCCCTCTCTGCAGTTTGAGAACCTGCTGCTTTCTAGTGAGGGCTGCATTGTTTTTTTGCAGGCAGGCTGTTGGCTCAATTGGCTGTTTCTCCAGCCGCGGCTTCACCTGCCCGGAGCACTTCGACCCCGCCTATAAGAACATGGACACCATTTCATCTCCGTCGACTTTGAGTCGACTCAAAAATCGACTTATCACACACGCCGAATATAACATGGACAACATCATCTCATCATCTCATGGACACCAACATCTCATCTCCGTTGACCGCCGTGACGAATAGCGAGAGTTTCACCTTTTCCTCTCCCTTTTTTCCTCTCCCTTTTTTCCTCTCCCTTTTTTCCTCTCCCTTTTTTCCTCTCCCTTTTTTCTCTCTCCCTTTCTTCCTCTCCCTTTTTTCCTCTCCTCATTTTCCTCTCCTCATTTTCCTCGCTCCCTTGCTTCCCACTTCTCCCCCCTCTTCTTCCCTCCCGTTCAGTTTGAGAACCTACTTTTGCTGAGTGAGGGCCGCATGGTATTTTTCGGGCAGGCCGTCGACTCGGTCGATTATTTTGCCCGCCATGGCTTCACCTGCCCGGAGCACTTCAACCCGGCCGACTACTTCATGGATATGATTTCCGTCGACCGTCGCGACGAGCAGAGGGAGACCGACTCCATGGCCCGCATCGACAAGCTCACTTCCAGCTACGAGCCTTCGCGGGAGGTCCGGCCGGACCTGCACCAGAAGAGCATGGAGGAGCAGGCGGAGGCGACAGAGGGGATGAAGTATTCCAAGTACGCGTCTAGCTGGGGGACGCAGCTGGCGGTGCTGACAAAACGATCGTGGTTGCAGGTGAGGAAAGAGAGATGAGTTTGAGATGTCTCTGTCTCAGCGGTCTCAGAACTCTACTTTTGTCACAGAGGGGATGAAGTATTCCAAGTATGCGTCTTCCTGGGGCACGCAGCTGGCGGTGCTGACGAAACGGTCGTGGTTGCAGGTGAGGAGGAGGAGGGATGAGTTTTGAGATGTCTCAGAACTCTACTTTTGTCACGGGGGGGAGGGGATGAAGTATTCCAAGTATGCGTCTTCCTGGGGGACACAGCTGGCGGTGCTGACGAAACGGTCGTGGTTGCAGGTGAGGAGGAGGAGGGATGAGTTTTGAGATGTCTCAGAACTCTACTTTTGTCACGGGAAGGGGTGAAGTATTCCAAGTATGCGTCTAGCTGGGGGACGCATCTGGTGGTGCTGATGAAACGGTTGTGGCTGCAAGTAACGAGGGATAAGCTCCCGATCACGATTGCGATCGCTTACGTGAATCTCACTTTTGAGAGTTCTCAAATTTTGCATTGCTGGCTCGGCGATCGTGGTTGCTTGCAGGTGACGAGGGACCGGCTGCCGATTGCAATCGCGTACGTGCAGGCGATGGTGATGATGGTGATGATATGCATCCTATACTCCAACACGAGCGCCGCCCCCAAGCAGAACATGTCAGGATCCCTCTTCTTCATCTCCCTCTTCCTCGCCTTCAACGGCATCTTCCAGGTGACGCACTTTTCTCAATATTCTTTTTTTTTGGGGAGGGGGGGGGGGGGGGGGGGGGGGGGGGGGGGGGGGGGGGGGGGGGCGGGTTGGGGGGAAAAGGGGGTGGGTGCGGGAAAGGGATTGGGGGGGAAGAGTCTCGATGTTTTGGGCTGAGAGCGGTGGGAGTATGTGGGAGCAGCAGCAGCAGCAGCAGCAGGACATGATTCCCACTCGAGCGAGAGCCCCTAGCAGAACATGACGGGGTCCCTCTACTTCATCGTCTTCCAGGTAATTTCTTGGATTTCGTGGCTTGTGCACCCATGCCTTTTTGGGCGGGGATTTGGGGCAGCCCTGGACCCTGGTGTGAGGACTAAAGAGAGGAGAGGATCATTCGGCTGCCAGCAGAACTTTTGAGGCGCCTCAAAAGTCCCAATGACCCTGGTGTGTGTGAGGACTAGGAGAAGAGAGGATCGTTTTGCCGCCAGCAGAATGTGACTGGGTCGCTCCCAATCATCTCATCTCATCCCTCTCTTCCTCTCGCCCTATTATCGTTGAAAGCGTGGTCATGCTTCTCTCTGCTACCAGCATTACGTTGCTACAAGGGAAACGCCCCTTTGACAACCGCCCATCCTCCTGTCCGCCCATCCTCCTGTCCGCCCATCCTCCTGTCCGCCCATCCTCCTGTCCCCTCCTGTCCATCCCAATCTCTGCAGATGATCACCACCTTTCCGCTTGAAAAAGGAGTGGTGGACCGCGAGCGATCGTCCAACACGTACCGCGTTACCGCCCATGTGATCCCCCATCTCTCCCCCTCTCTCCCCTTCTCTCTTCTCTCCCCTTCTCTCCCCTCTCTTCTCTCCCTTCTCTCCTTCTCTCCCTTCTCTCCCCTTCTCTCCCCTTCTCTCCCCTTCTCTCCCCTTCTCTCCCCTTCTCCCTTCTCTCCCCTTCTCTCCCCTTCTCTCCCCTTCTCTCCCCCCTTCTCTCCTCCCTCCCCTTCTCTCCCCTTCTCTCTCCCTTCTCTCCCCTTCTCTCCCCTTCTCTCCCCTTTCTCTCCCCTTCTCTCCCCCTCTCCCCTTCTCTCCCCTTCTCCTCCCCCCTCTCCCTCCCTCCCCCCCTCCCTCCCCCCTCTCCCTCCCCCCTCTCCCTCCCCCCTCTCCCTCCCCCCTCTCCCTCCCCTCTCTATATCCTCATCCCACCAGATGATCACCACCTTCCCACTGGAAAAGGAGTGGTGAACCGCGAGCGATCGTCCAACACGTACCGTGTGTCCGCATACTACCCCGCCAAGGTGCTCTCCGACTGAACCACTGACCTCGTTTATTCCCAATCCCTTCAGATGATTACGACATTCCCACTGGAGAAAGGAGTGGTGAACCGCGAGCGATCGTCCAACACGTACCGGGTGACCGCATACTACCCCGCCAAGGTGCTCTCGGAGTGGCCCATCCGCATCGGCCCTGTGATCGTGTTTGGCATCATCGCCTACTGGCCCATTCAGTACCAGCGCGTGGCGTCCAAGTTCCTCCTCTTCCTCGTCATCTGCATGCTTGAATTCACAGCCATGAACGGCCTCGGTATTCTGGTGCGTTGGGGTGGGAGGGAAGGGCGTGTGTGCATTCATGTGTGTGGGGGGTGAGGGTTGGGGGTCGAGCGTGTGTGGGGGAGGGGCGAACGTCTCTGTTGCCTCCAAGTTCCTCCTCGTCCTCGTCATCTGCATGCTCGAGCTCACCGCCATGAACGGTCTCGGTATTCTGGTGCTTTGGGGTGGGAGGGAAGGGCGTGAGTGCATTCATGTGTGTGGGGGGTGAGCGTGTCTGCTTGCCTCCTTCCTCGTCATTTGCATGCTCGAGTTCACCGCCATGAACGGCCTCGGTATTCTGGTGCGTGTGTGCATGCGTGTGTGTGTGGGGTGAGTGTGTCTCCTCTTCTTCCTCTTCCTCGTCACCTGCATGCTCGAGTTCACTGCCATGAACGGCCTTGGTATCATGGTGCGTGCGCGTGCATGCATGCGCGGGAAGGGTGGGCGTGTGTGCATTTGTGTGCGGGGCAGGCCTGTTTCTGCCCTCCTCTTCCTCATCGTCTGCATGGGTCCTCTCTTCACGGTCGTGCTCATGCTGCTTGCCCATATCTAGCCTTCATTTTTCCCCTCGACAATCCCCTCGGACTCCTCTCAACCTCCTCTGAATCCCTTCTCCACTCACCCGCAGATCGGGTCAATAGCGCCCACCCCTCAGCTCGCCCTGGCCATGGGTCCTCTCTTCACGGTCGTGCTCATGCTGTTCGGCGGCTTCTACGTGAATCTCGATTCCATCCCTGTGTGGATCCGCTGGGTGCGCTACCTCTCGCCCATCCAGTGGGGCTTCGTCGGCCTGGCTGTCAACCAGTTCGAGGGTGAGTCGCTCTCTGTTTCACTGGGATAAGCTTGAATGGGGTGGGGTGGGGTGCAGTGCGGTGCGGTGCGGTAGGTTGAGGTGCGGTGGGTCACTGCGTGAATCTCGATTCCATCCCTGTGTGGATCCGCTGGGTGCGCTACCTCTCGCCCATCCAGTGGGGCTTCGTCGGCCTCGCTGTCAACCAGTTCGAGGGTGAGCCTCGAATGGGGTGGGGTGGAGTGGGGTACGGTGGAGTGGGGTACAGTGGAGTGGGGTACGGTGGAGTGGGTGGGTAAGGATGGGGTTTCCAAGCCCATCCAGAGGGGCTTTGTGTTGTGAGCACCATTCCAGGCCTGGCTGTCAACCAGTTCTCCGGTGGGCCTTAAAGCCTTAAAGCCTGTGCATTGCCTTAGTAATAGCCCATGCATTTTTCCTTCCTGCCACTTCTACCTCCCCCTTAACTTCCTGCTTCTTTTCTTCATTTATCTTTGTTTTCTTCATTTATCTTTGTTTTCTTCATTTATCTTTGTTTTCTTCATTTATCTTTCTCTTCATGCCTTGCTCCTCCTTGCATCTTACCTGCCAGCCACTTCCCCCCCACCCCCCTCCTCCGCCCATCCCAGTGTTGACCTTTGACTGCTCTCACTCCTGCCGATTACTGACGCACCGTGAAGGTCGTCTTGTCTCACTCTGCCTTACCCTGTCCTGCCTCGCCTCCCCCTCGCCTCCCCCTCCGCCTATTTCAGGGCTGACCTTTGACTGCTCTCCCACCTGTCTCTCTCCTCCCTGCCCCTCGCCTCCCCCTCGCCTATTTCAGGGCTGACCTTTGACTGCTCTCCCGCCTGCTCCAGTGGGGACCAGATTCTGAAGGACCTTTCCATTGACAACTACACTGTGAGTGTGCTTCTAATGGTTGTGCTTGTAGAGGGTGTGCTGTTTGGGAGTCACTTATGAGAATTATTAAAAGGGACCAGATCCGTAAACTCGAAACCCTCACCATTGACAACTACACTGTGAGTGTGCTTTCAATGGTAGTGCTTGTAGTGAGTGTATTTGTTACGAGTGCGAACAGGAAGGTTTTAAACGTGTTAACAGAGACAAGGGTTGTTTTTAGAAATGTGGGTCACAGTGAATGCTTGCGTTGCATGACACTTGCACCGCTTGATGCTCTAACTCTATGGTTCTGGTGTTGCACAACTGCGAAAACGCATTGGTGCATCTCTGTGCAATTCTCTCTTTATCTTATTTTTTATTCCTTGGGCTGTATCTCCTCTACTTGTCCCTAACCTCCTCTGACCCTGCCACAACCCCACTTTGCAGCTTCCATGCCAAACGTTCCTTTCGCAATACACCTACTCTTGATTTTTCTTCGTGACTTTTTCCATAACCTTCCACCCTCATGTTTGCATGTAACATCACAGGTGGCCGAGGCGATCGCTTATCAGTGCTGCCTGATAGTGGGCATGCACATCATCGCATGCACATCATCGCATGCACATCATCGCATGCACATCATCGCATGCACATCACCGCATGCACATCATCGCATGCACATCATCGCATGCACATCTTGGCATGCACATCATCGCATGCACATCATCGCATGCACATCATCGCATGCACATCATTGCATGCACGGCCCTCATCTTGAACGGCCCAATGATTCAACCTTGTTCTTGTCGTAACTTCCTCCCTCCAATGCCTTCCTCCCTTGCGTGTGCATATAATATCACAGGTGGCCGAGGCGATTGCATACCAGTGCTGTCTGATTGTGGGTATGCACATCATCGCATGCACAGCTCTCATCCTGAACGGCCCAAAGATGCAGCCTCTCAGTGCGCTGGGTTCCAAGGCCCAGCCAGTCCTCTTGCCGACGCAGGAGGAGACTCCCGAGGCTCTTGCTGCTGTGGTCAGCAGTGGGGAGGGTGGGGAGGATAGGGCTCCCACGGAGGAAGAGCGCGTTTTGAAAGTGGAGTAGCTGGGGTGGGCGGATTTTCTAGTCCTGATGGTAATTATTCATAAGTCTTAGTGTGAGCTCTAGGGCCTTGTTATCTGGTACCGTATGTGTGCCTTGCTAGTGCATGCCTTCTCCCTTGTTACGCAGTGTTGTTTTGCAGTCACAAAATGCTCGGTGGCAAACATGCTAACCTAAAGTAGTTCGATAGTTTATGTCAAATAACTGCTTTTCTGCTTTAGCACTTCTGGATGGTGCAATTTTGCACTGCCGTTTGTCAGGTCAAAATCTTGTAAATCCAGTTTTCGCCAAACATCCTTTCTTCTCTAAACTGCTATATCGGGCCTGCTGTTACTGAGGCCGGCATATTTGGTTCTTCGAGGTGCACGAACCATCGCATACATTCTTGAGCCAATTTCGCTAAGCTTTCGCGAAAATCCGTTACACCGCCTCACCACCGACCAAATTTCGTAACTGCCATTGCTCTCCCCACTGCAAATTGGACGGACTATTTCACGAACATGCAACCACCCATTTCTTCGGGCAAACTACCCCGAAAGGGTTGACATTTCTTGCATTTCTCCCTCTCCTCCTCGCAGGAACTCCCTGAACGGGGGCGTCGTAGAAGCTCGGAAACAATGCAAAAAACGAAGTGCTTGCTAAGTACAATGGAAGGGTACACAATTCAATGGACTTGTGGTGAATATTTCAGATGTTCAAGGTGCATGTACGGATCACCACACAAGCCAACCTACGAGCCGCTAGTTTCGGCAAGCCTACTTTAGGATAGTGGTGCTGCCTTCTGTCAGAAAACGCAGATGCAGCCAATTTCGTCGAGCTACATGCGCCCTCCCCCCCCCCCTAGTCCCCAATGTCTGGCTCAATGGCACTCCCTAATCCGTTCAGCAGTCAACAACCATAAACATGCCCCCTTCTACTCACCAAGTCGTGTCTGAAGCCCTTAGTTGAGAGAGAGTATCATTTGTCATCAGTCTTTCGCTGCTGCTCGAAGTCAGTGACACGAAAGGATGGAGAAGCATCGGATTATTCTTGTCTTCCTTCTTCTGTGTGAGCACCTCTGGCACTAACTGTTTTTTTCATGCCACGCATAATCGACTTGGTACTCGCAACCTTTCCACAACGCATTTCCTTTCGTACTCTTGCTCACTTGGCCGTTGCCCTAACTCGCGTTTCGAATTGTCCTCCTGACAACAGGCACCCTCGCATCCGTGGCTTCCTCGAAAACACTTTACAGTAAGTCGTCACATCTTATCACGCGAAAAAAAACAGATGGAAAAAAAGAAAAAACAGGCGATCGTATGTGCGGTCCGTTTGTGCCTGACATCCCCGCTCGTTCTCGCACATACCTTTATCCCTTATACTCCTGAAAAAAAAAAAAAAAAATGTTTGCTCGGCCCGTTGAATGCGTGGTGTCTCCCATTCTTTGGAATGCTTGATAACGTGGGCAGTGAGAGCGACAGCCATTCTTTCAGGAGTGAATGTTTTTGGAGGTACCAACTTAAACCTCGGATTTGGACGAGCTGTCATCTCCGTTTACATGTGAGCTCGTATGCTTTTGTCAGTTCCTCTCGTTTCGACATTCTTTATTGATGGGGGTTAAAACGTTTTTTAACTATTCAACTTCATTCTGCAGAGATGGACCGTTTTACGAGGTGCGGACATTTGTGACGGCCAACAACATGTTCAGCAACGGTAACATCCCCTTGTACGGAGTGTATATTGGTAGACGCTTCACATCTCCAGAAAATGCAGACGGTGTGCGTGTGCCGCCGTTTGTCATGAACTGGAAGAATGACACCCTGAACGGCCCCATAAATAGGCAGGTTGGGGCTTATAGCTACCATGCAACGAGGAAGGTTATATACCTCACTCGCTTCTTGTACACGTTATCCCCAGCGTACAAGCTCATGAACAACCCCCGTGGCCATTTTGCTGTTATTTCCTATTATGGCAACAAATGTGCTTTGAGGGGGCAGTTCGTCAAGACGTGGGGCTGGTTCAATCCATAGTACTAAGTACACTGGAATGCTGTAAATGTGTTGATAATGATATGATTTGTTAAGATTGTAATATTCATACAGTCTTTTTATTGTTTCATTGAAGTTGGGGAAGGGATTGAGATGCTGCTTTATACATCCGGACTGGATGAAAATACACTATTAAGGTGTATACATCCACAGTAGTAACTGACTTCAGCTGTTGTTATGGTAAGCTTTGCATTATCTTTGCACTTCGTAACGAGCGTGTTAGCGCACTTCTGTATGTGGGACATAATCGAAGCAGGATTTTTCCTACAAAATCTCATGTACTTGCTCTTGTTCAAAACCAATGTTCGCTAAGTCACTGGCGCTCGTGTACTGTACATGATTTTTGAAAGTCGCGCGCTGGCGGACCTTAGCATCTTCCCCGACCACAGGTTCAACGGAAGAACAAACGCCACGTGGAAGTCCAGCCAGCTCAGCCCAAATATTCTCAGTGCAGGTTCAACTGTTGGGGCAGGCAACAGAGCACACCGCACGAGGCTGGGTGGCTGTGGTGTGGTTGTTTTGTCAACCCATTTCGCTTGTCCAGCAAACGTTTTGATGCCCGAATGAGAAGCTCGGTAGATTCCTTCACTGCTGTTTGGGAGTTCCAGCTTCACCCTAGCCTGTGAACGTGGTTCGGTCTCGCGTGGCACCAGTACGTGCGGAAGCGTTCCATTCAGGTTCGCGGGAAACCTGTGTATGGGGGAACCTGCGTGCGGTTGCCGCTCGCCCTCAGATCTGCCGCTTCTTTTTTTTCGTCTGGTTGGCTCCTCGTTCCGCGCGAAGGTTCTCATTGGCTCGACCACCCCAGGAAAGCGCCCCTGGCTGGACGCAGTTGGTCTGTAACTTTGGCGGGTTCTCGTTGGCTGAGCTGGTCCAGTTCTGGTCACCACCGTTCATTCCACAAAAATCAATTCAGCATTCCATACCCCCACCCCAACAATGCCTTGCAAGATACGTACTCCATTTCATGGGTCCTCGTGGGCGAAATGTACATTGTCGGTAACATTGAGACTATGTCATGTGTCGCAGACACCAGTCCCCCCCTATTCTGTCTGACCACCAAAGCCCCGCCACCAGTGATTAGGGCGTGTAAAATCGCTGCACCTAAAAATTCGGCCACATGGCCGAATGGCCGAATTGGCGAAAGTAACCCGTTTGCGAGTTTGACGAAGACGCTCGCCACCATCGCAAATTTCGCGAATAAAAAACGAAATTGATGGCCGTTTTGAAAGTCGACTCGAATTCGACACCATGTCGACTCCAATTCGGCCAAGTAGTCGACTCCGTGAGCGACTATCATGTGCGACGTCGCACGTTCTCGCAGAACGACAGATTTTTGCAGGCCTGTCAAATCAGAGATCTCGCTGTCAAACGTGCGACCCCGTCGTACACACGTTCCTACTGTAGCAGCTGCAAATTTTACAGCTTTTTGAAACCGGCCTGGAATTCGGCCCTCAAACCTGTAAAGTTTGCAAATCTGCAAATTGTGGCTGTAAATGTGACGACACGAAGTCGACCAATCCGTCGACTTTCGCGAAAGAAATGTCGACCAGAGATGGTCGACGAAAACCCGGCCAAAAGCAATTTTTGCATATTCGCGTGGATTTTACACGCCCTTAGCCCCCTCACACCACAACAACCGCACGAGAGAGCATCTCGCTGCCCTTCACCATAGCTCCCCCACCACACCACCATTCTGCGATTCAAATTATTTTCCTGCACTCTTTCCCATCAATTCAATCACCACTGCGCCTTCCTTCACTTCACGCTTTCCACTGAAGTCCACCCATTATCTCATTTCTCTTTTCAGAAGGCATAGCGTGCGACTGACGTGCTTGCTACCATCGTGTTGGATATCCCTTATCCCCGTTTTCGGATCTTGCTTCTGCTTGATTCCCTGGGTCGCCCTTTGTTCTCCGATTTGACAAGGTCTATCGACCATGGGTTGGGCCAACTCCCTGCTCTCGTTTGATAACGGCCTTCTATCGAATCAGTCCTAAGAAATTAAAAACGTTCCTGCATTTCGAGAATCATAAATCTGTTACGATCGTTCGTCCGACCTGCCTCATCTTGAGGTTCTGCGACCCGCTTTAGGACTTTCACCAACTTCAACGCACCTACCCCCACTCTCTCCGCATGCCGTGCGTCACTCCCCCTCACGCGCGGAAGCAGTACGCGAGCTTCTCAGCAGCGATGCCGCTCCGCACGCCTCTTCCTCTAGATGACGTGGTCGACGGCTGGGGCATGGATGTTGTCCCGCTGGATCCACCTCGGCCCAGATCCGACGTCAGAATTGACAGATGGCCGGTCACACGACCGGCCGCCGGGGAAACGACTGAGAAGAAGAAGATCCGACAGACTGCGAACAGAAGATGGAAGCCGGAGGTTGAGTTGCGGAAGGCGCGGAACTGGGTCGCGGCGCAGAGCCAGGCGGTTGCGCAACGAGCGGGAGAGGCGTGGGGGAACGCGCAGAAGGAATGCCGGGAGAACATCGCGGGGATGTGGAGCCGGCTGCAGGAAGATGGCGGGCTGAAAACCGTCAAACACATCTTCGCCGGAGCTACGGCGTCAGTTGTTGCCAGGTGAGAGCGAGTCGGATCGTCGTGGTTGATTCTGGCTCGTGTTTGTCGGCTCATGTAGTCATTCCAATAGCCGATTCGGTATAGATCTTCTTTATCCATGGCTTCTGGCTCGGCCTGCTTCAGGATCAAAAGTCGGTTTTCCATTCTTGGAGGGAAAGCGGGGTGATTCTCGCGTCTGTCGTGGAGTTTTTCGTCGTCCGTTGCATTTCCTTCTCGTGAACATGCGTCACCTTGTTCTCTGTCGTCTGAAGCCCAGATCTGGTTTGGCTCCCTCACAATATAAGCAGCTACAGTGCATGGTGTACAGCATTTAAGCGCGCGCGCGCATTCAATCACGCGTATTTGAATCGAACCAAGCCAAACCTTCGATTATCGTCGGTTCCTGAAGACATCCAATCCAATTCCTTTCCTTGTCTCCTCCGTCCAGATCTGCGGTGGCTCCTCTGGAACGTCTGAAGCTAGAGTACATGGTGTGCGGGGCTCAAGCGCACGTGCCGGAACTAACCCGGCGGATATTCGTGCGCGAGGGCATGATGGGTTTCTGGAAGGGCAATGGCGTTAATCTGCTGCGCATCGTGCCGTTTAAGACCATCAATTTCGTCATGTATGACATCTTCCGTCAAAAGATCCTGGATCTGTCAAAGAAGACGGACGTTAACAACTTTGAGCGGCTATCTGCCGGAGCCGTCGCCGGCGTCATTGCCACCTTCGCCTGCTTCCCGCTGGATACGGTGAGCATCGGTTGATAAGTATTGCATTGCCGCTGGATACGGTTAGCATCGGTCTGTAGGTTTCGGAGTGGTTTCTTGCTTGGTACGGAAGCACTGGTTGGGAGTAAGTTCAGAATTGCTTCTCGCGGGATGCGGGAAGCACAGACCTGATCCAGTGCATCGTACATGGCACAATGCATAGTTTCCTGTTCACAGATCTGATCTCCTAGTTAATTGCATGTTTTATTTTTGGCTTCCATTACCCTCCCTGTAGCCGCTCAGCTATCCCCTGTTTCGATACTAATCAAGGAGCCCTTTTTTCTCTCTCCCTGATCTGGTTCCTTCAGGTTCGGACGAGGATGATCGCGCAAGGCGGCATTGCATGCACCGATCTCGCCGGCTGTCTAAGCGAGATGATCCGAACGCAGGGTTTTTTCGGCTTGTATCGAGGCATCTGGCCTGCGGTCTACAGTATCGCTCCTTCCTGTGCAATTTTCTACGCCGCTTACGATTTCATGAAAACCACGCATCTGCAATCCCAGGATAAGCCGAAACTTCCAGTGATAGACAAGATCTCGTTCCTACCTTCCGGGAAACTCGCCCTGCCAGGAACCCCCTCTACCTCCCAATCCGCCTCTCTATCAGCCGGTCTTCCCTCTTTGGCCAAAGCCGACGGTTCTGCATCGCAAGCGACAGATGTATCCGCGGTAGAGACGGACGCGGTAGAAGCAGCGGAGGTTCGGAAGGAGCTCGGCCCGATGCGGACGCTGCTGTACGGGGCGATTGCAGGGGTGGTGTCGGAGTTCGCTACCTATCCTCTCGAGGTGGTTCGGCGGCAGATGCAGATGAGCGGTATTGAGGGGTCTGTAGCGGTGGCGGGACAGAAGGCGGGAGCGATGCGGGTGTTGAAAGAGGTGGTGCAGAGAGGAGGCTTTCCTGCTCTCTACGCTGGAATGGTCCCCGGCCTGCTTCAGGTATGTTCTTGTAACGATTAGGACTTTACTAAATCGAGGTGACTTTTGAGTCAACTCAAAAAGACTTCCGGCGCTCAAGGTGGAACGGTTCCGGGCCTGCTTCAGGTATGTTCTTGTAACGATCAGGGTTGTCACTAAATCGAAACTCGAACTAGCAGGGCATGATTACGAAGAGGGGTGTCAATATGTCGGTCATCACAGGTAAGTGTGAGATCGTAGGAGCTGGAGGAGGTAAATGACGTGTGCAGGAAATGCAGGAAGTGATCTCAGACAGATAGGAAACTGCAATTCAGTTTCTCTAAATGGGTAATATTTGAAGCCTCTGAGCCAAGCGACAGCATTTGAGACCCTGGTTCCTGATTCAACCTTACCCGTCCCTCTGGTTCAGTCACCTTTGTCCCTCGTTCTACCATCCCTGAGAGCGTAAGAGTTGAGAAAGGATCCAGCAACTATCGGCTGAGAAAGTACCCTTCTTCATTTGGCCTTAAATTGGTAGATCCGATCTGGATGAGACTGTCATCTTAATCCGATTTGATATTGGATGAAGGGATTCTCTACCCTGCATGATTATACACTAGCAGCTCTTCACTTCAGGTTCTATTTTACAAATTAATTCCCCAAGCATTTGTCGAACTCAACGTTTCACTTCTCCAATCCTCCGTCCTTCCCTCTCATACCCTCCCCATCCTTGCAGGTGCTGCCATCCGCGGCATTGAGCTATTGGGTGTACGACTTCCTCAAGCTACACCTCAAGGTCGACTAGGCGCTGCTTCTGCTGCTTCTGAGGGTCCCCTGAGAGTGGAGTAGTCGCGGCTGAGGGACCCCTCCAGGTCGAATAGCTTTTTTCTGCACAGTGGCGACTTGGCTTGGCTGGTGCGAGCGCAGAGCCTATGCTTTTGTGTGCAGATGTGTGCACTGACACAAAATTGTGTGGGATGGAGTGAGTTGGGGTTGACAGTAGAGCTTCGCAGATAATTGCCCTGCACTGCAAATCTCCATTCATTTCTTAGGATAGGCTGCTGTCGAAGTTATTTTGAAAGTGTAGCTTTTACATCATGTACAATTTGGATGAAAAGATGCATGTACCTCTCTCACAAAACCAGTTACTCTGTACACTCAGATTCACATTTGTGAAGGCTGGCTGCCAAGCTGAACTGCAAGGCAGGGCAAGAATCAGACGTCCATGGGTCCATTCATCCATCCATGCATTGAGCACATACAGTACCGCAAACACACATGCACAATACCATATGTTGGTACCGTACAAGGCTCCCCTCCACACTACAGCACCACTGCGTCTATCTCGTCAGGCCTCGACCTATTGCTGCCGCCTCTAGTTTTCTTCTTCGCCTTCTTCCCATTCGAACCGCTCCCCACCGCACCACCACCGCCACTGCCCCCTTTCCCTCCATCTTCTTTAGTCACCGGCAACCCACCAGTCGAAAACCCTGGGCGTTCAAACACAGGCGCATAATCAAACACCATGGCTTCCCTTACAGTCACACCCACCCCTTCAAAGGTCCACACTTTGAGTTTCGCGGAACCCTTTATTCCAACCGCCACCCAACCAAGCCCGGCTATGGCTACGTCTGTGCTGCTCTGATCCCACCGCGTGCCCTCCACTGTAACAGAACGTGGTAACCACATTCCGAGGTCCGCCATGCGAGATGCCTCTGCTGGCGGCTGGAGGGTTGGGGAGGGCGAGACGGAGTGCGGTGGAGATAGAAGAGCGAGCGATGGAGATGGGCGACAAAGAGAGTGGTAATGCAAAATCGGATGCTAAAGTGGGTAAGTACGAGAGAAAGAGAAAGATTACATTAAAGCTGGTAACACAGAGAAATGGATACCAGCGTGTGGTTACAGACAGCATACCCAGAAGACCACCATATGTGCACTCACTGAACCTGCAACCACCGAACCTGCAACCACCGAACCTGCAACCACCGAACCTGCAACCACCGAACCTGCAACCACCGAACCTGCAACCACCGAACCTGCAATTCCATACCTGCAGCTTGACCCCGACGTGCTTCTCCAGCACAGCTGGCGCGCTGGCGATCTTGCCCATGTGGCACGCTATCATTGGCGAGAGCCACGCCGTCAGATAAATGGACTCCGCTGCTGCCTCCTCCACATCCACTCGGGCGAGTCCCCCCAGCAGCACGCACTGCCCTGGCTGTGAAGAGAGGAGGTGAAAGGGGGGGGGGGGAATGCGATGAGGCGAAAGGAAGAGTTGAATCCGCCTCCTCCACATCCACTCGGGCCAAGGCCCCCAGCAGAACGCACTGCCCTGGGTGCTGAAATGTGGGAAGCGAGATACACGGAGGGTAAGGCAACGTGGTGTAGGGAGGGGTGATGCTCAGGGCCATGTGGCACGCTATCATTGGCGAGAGCCACGCCGTCAGATAAATGGACTCTGCCGCTGCCTCCTCCACATCCACTCGGGCGAGTCCCCCCAGCAGCACGCACTGCCCTGGCTGCGCAAATTGGAGAAGGAAAGGGTGGGGAGGAGTGGGAGTTGGGTGGTGCGATAGATCGACTCTGCTGCTGCCGATTTTTGAGTTGATGAAGCTGCCCTACAAGGCGATGATGCGACCGACTCTCTCATCACATGTGAGATAGATCGACTCTGCTGTTGCCTCCTTCACGCCCACCCATGCCAGACCTCCCAGCAGAGCGCACTGGCCTGGCTGCACAAGCAAGGGAAGAATGATAGCAGACGCGTGGGATAGAACAGTCATGGGTAGGGCGGTGTGAAAGGTGTGGGGTAGGGAGGTTTGGGAGGCGTGGGAGGTGTCGGGGAGGGATGTGTGGGGTAGGGAGGGAGGCATGATGCGGGTGGGGAGGTGTGGATTGAGGAGGTATGGGGTAGCAAGCAATGGTGAAGAGAGGGGCAATGCACTGGGCGAAAACTGAATACTACCCAGTTTGTGCTGTGTTATGTGGCGGTACTGTCCCAGAACTCTGAACCCTGAACCCCCACACCACACCCCATCCCATCCAGGCTACCTTGATGCGGAATGCACGGGGTTTGAGAGCCTTCTTCGGCACAACCACCTTCAGCTCCTCCCTTGTCAGCCGCACCGACAGCTGGTGGGGGTGCAGCAGGCCTGGCGTGTCCATCACTCTCGTCCTTCCCTCCAAACCCTAATCCTCCCCCATTTTCTCACCTTGATGCGAAATGTGCGTGGTTTTAGCGCCTTTTTCGGAACAACCACCTTCAGCTCCTCCCTCGTAAGCCGCACCGACAGCTGGTGCGGGTGCAGCAGCCCTGGCGTGTCCATCACTCTCGTCCTTCCCCCCAACACCCCCTCTATAGGCACCACCCCTATAGTCGTCCCAGGAACCCATGCCTCAGTCAACCCTACCCCTCCCACTCCCCCTCCTCCTCCTTTCGCTCCTTTCTTCCCGGCCCTCCCTCCTGCTCCCTTCCCGGTCATCCCCGCTTTCCCTCCGCCCTTTCCCCCATTCCCCCCTGTCTTCACAGCAGCAGCAAGGGCGTTAATCAAAGAGGATTTTCCCGCGTTTTGAGCCCCAACCACCCATACGTCTCCCCTGGGTCCTGCTAATGTGGCTAGTTGGGAAGCCAAATACCCCACTCCAAACCCCGTCTTAGCTGATAGTAGATGCAGCGATGTAAGACGAGGCAGGCCGCCCGCTTTCGCACGGCGCCGAATCCACTGCTCCAGTCGGAGCGGCGAGATTTGGGGCGGCAGAAGGTCGGCTTTATTCGCCGCGAGGATGAGACGAAACGTGTTGCTGCCGCCCGGAGGCCCTGCTGCTTTGCCATCCGCCTGGGATTCCTTCCACTTGCCCGCGGCCTCAGCTTCTGCCCGAGCCAAAAGTTCGGCTGCCCGGCGCGGGAAGGACCCGTCAAAATCTGCTGCATCCACCACCACAAGCACAACTGCCCGGCGGCCGTAAGCTGCCCGGAGACGCTGCCCGACGGCCCTCTCAAAATCAAAGTCGGGCAGGAGATTCTCCACGCTCTCGTCTTTCACCTGCCCATAGTTCCTCAGGGCGTGACACCTGGCACAAACCACCAATTTACCATCCTTCTCCTCCTCCTCCTCCTCCGCTTCCCCCTCCACCTCCATCCCCCTCATCCGATCGCCCCTTCCCCTCGCCACCCCTCTAGAATCTCGCTTCAGCTCGTCTGCTCCGTTTCTTTCCAACTGATCCTCCCAAGCCTTTGCCCACGCCTCCTCATCAAACTCCTCTTCCTCTTCCTCTTCCTCTCCATACTCATGGCCATCGCTGCCGCCCTTCCTGCCGCTTTTTCTGGAAGCTTCCGCGGCCAGGTCAGCATCGAGATCAAAGTCCACGTCGAACTCCTCGAAACCCGTGCCCACGTCATCAGCATCATCTCCAACGGGAGGAAGCTTCGCCTCCACTAGTTTTCCCGGGCTGCCCCGATTCTTCAGGTCAAACTCCGTCCACATGGTAACTTTTTTTCTGCCCGCGGCTTCCTCCTCTTCTTCCTCTAAACCCTCTAATTCTTCCAACTCCTCTTCATCTATCCCCTCGTCGTCCCCTAAACCCGAAACCTCGGCGGATCTAGCAGGGTCGAGCGCGGCAGGGAGGACGAAAAAACCCGGAAGTTTCGGATCCTCGCTTTGCATGGTAACGCCGCAGCCCGGGCAAATATCAGGCACCTTCCCCGCAACTCCCTGCTTCCCTTCCTCTCCCGCACCTTCCGCTGTAGCTTCCGCCGAATCGCTAGCAGCCGCTGCCCTCATATCTAGCCGTTTTCGGTAGCCGCCTGCATGATTCGAACTCGCGAGCTTTCGTCTTCCATGCGGGGCCTTCAAGCCACGTGGGAAAGATCCGGCGAGACCTCGAGATTGGCTGCCATGGAAAAAGGGAGAAGGCGACACAGGCGACACGAGACCGCGGCTCCAGGATGGCGTAAAAGCGGCGCGTGCGGGAAGGATGGGACTGGTAGTTGTAGTGGCGATGAGAGAATGGGAGAGTGTACGCAGAGTGGGGAGGAGCGACGAACGCAGCGTGGGAGATGGTAAAGGTACGGCGCGGTTGAGGCCGTGGCGGCACCCGCCGCCTGACGCGAAAGCGCGCAGCGCACCCATCAGGGGCCGGCGGAGCGATATGGATGAGGCTACTAACGTCAGCATACAGTGGATCGCCAACGTGGGAATAATGAGAATAGGGGGCTGCCTTCGGTTTGGAAAAGCGCGGAGAGGGCCAGCCACGCCCCTAAACCCGAGGCGTTGGGTTCGGTTGCGCTGAGTTGGGTTCGATCTCACAGTCAAACTTACAGATTTACACAATGGATGAAAACACATGTCAGGTTATATTAGCGGAAGTATCGCTGTTTTGTGTAAGTGTCTGAAATTGACAAAGGGTGTGACATTTCTTGTAAAGCGTATACTTGGGTTTGGGCCTGCAGGGATATTGGGGGGCTGGGAATTGCGGTCGCGTTTGAAGCACCGAGGCGCGCCAGCAATTCCCACAATTCCCCACATGCCTAGTTCGTACATATGGTGTTGAGACCTGGAAGGGGTCGCTCGGCATGCCACTTTGCGTCGCCAATACATGTCGCCTTGGTGTGTGGAATTCGCAGAGGCTCCAGCTGAGGTCCCAATTTGCCAACTGGGGCTGCACCAATTCCCCCACCCCCAGCAACCCAGCCCTTCTCCAATTATTTGCAGTGAAAGTCTCATTGAGCAAACAGAGCTCCACCCAACCAGCAGTCTCTTACCTGTAAGGATCCATTCAACCGTGGGTCAGTGAGTTTCCACGCACCTGTTAGCATCCATTTCAGCGCTCCAACTAGGGACTATCTTCATTGCTCCACCATGGCTAGAAATCTTATCTTCGTGCTCGTCGCTCTCCTAGCAACCACGACCCTCTGCCACGGAGCCCGGCCGTTCCTCACAGCGCTACTGACCTCCGATCCCTATGCCGCGCTAGCCGTTGTTGAGGCGGGGAACGATCGACCGAAGAATCAAATAGCAGAGGCAGATGTGGTCGCTGCTGACAGCGATAACACTGCCAGCGTTGCCGGAGGTGAGGAATTTTCGTGTGCTGCTTCTTCTTATTGATATTTTACCATTGACTGACGCGCGATGTTCTACCTTTCTTATTCCATTCCTACTGCTATCTATTCACCCACGATTAACGCCGCTCATTTCCTCCGGATTCTGATTTCCTTCCCCTTTATTCCAGCTACAGAAATCGTCTCGACTGCCGCTGATAACGACAACGTGGCATCAGCAATCCATGGGACGATGACAGCTGACGTGGACAGCGATTCCGTCGGATTCTTGACGGCATCCGTCTCCCTGCCAGGTTCTGACAACGTCATCGCCGCATTGAACGTTCCGCGCAGAAAAGGCTCCTTGGTCTCCGTCATCGACGACCCCACCGATGACACTGCATCTGTCGGCGCATCCACATCTGCTGCCGTTATCGATGCTGACCTGAGCGATAATACCGCGTCTGCTGCGACAACGGTGAAATTCGACGACCCCACCGATAACACCGCCTCTGTCGGCGCATCCGCCGCGTCTGCTGCTGTTATCGTGGATGACCTCGGCGATAACACCGCGTCTGCTGTCGCGACGACGGCGACCGTCGACGACCCCACGGATAACACCGCGTCTGTCGCCACATCTGCTGCGACCGTCATCGACGACCCCACGGATAACACCGCGTCTGTCGCATCTGCCGCAACTGTCGTCGACGATCCCACCGATAACACCGCGTCTGCGCGGGAGGGGGCAACCACGACGGCGTACGTCTCCCTTCCCGGGTCAGACAACGAAATCTATGCGTACCGCGTTCCTGCTCGCCGGGAAGGCATGCTGGTCGTCGTGAACGGCGAGGGCAGCAGCTAAAATGACCTGATAGCCGTTGGATGGTGACAATCGCACAGCTGCTATATGATGGTGCGCTGGATTGACTGCATGAGCGCCCAAGGACCTGGCTGACGGAACAGCTGGTTTGAAGGTCCCGATGATTATCGCACAAGATGCTGCATCTCGCTTTCGAGACCCATGGCGGTTGCCTCTTTCTGGAGAGTTGTGTGAGGCAGCTTGCCCAATAAGCAGCTTTCACCTGCCCTGCTGCGTGTTTGTGTAAATCAATCTTGATTTTGTGTAATTTCTACTGAAATCAACTTCCAGCAATTTATCTTGGTCACCACAAGACACATACAATAGTTTCTACGTGGATAGTCCGTCAGAAAATTGTATATGAGCCCTCTGGGTTGATTATCGACAAACGGGGAGAGGTTGGCTTCACTAAATTATTTGAGGACGGCGCGAGCGCGAGTCAAAGAGTTTTAACTTTATAGCCATTCGATAACCAACAAATACATGTGCTACATGGTTGGAGATTTTCTAGCACTCTATAAGGAGGAGATTACACGATTTTCCAACTAGTCCTTGTGGTCCCGCGATTCGGCAGTGGCCACACATGTCATCCCACCACACTCGCCGAACCGCAGCGAGGGCAGTTCTCTCTATGGGATGGGATGTATGAGAACGTCGCAGGGCCATCTACAGTACAAGCGATTCCGCAACACATGCTCCCACACAAACCCACGAAATCCACCTGTCGAATTCAAACCCAAGCATTGGCTCGTTGGCGCGGTTCGGTCATTGGAGCCCACCAATCATCAGGTTTTTGGTCGACTTTGGATACCCACCCAAAACCACATTTCTGCGCAGCAGAAGTCATTCCACTTCATAATCCTTCCTCCATGTTTTCGCCCGCCACCTCACCTCCCACAATTTGAATGCTGGAGGCTTGAAAATCGTGAGCCACAGGATTCGTGGGCTCCCAGTCACTAGAAACGACGGCTTGTGCTTACCGTTTGGAACGCTAAACACCTTAACTCAGCTAACTATCATGGACGTCAGAATTCAGGCGGTTCTTGTGCTCTGTCTTCTCTCCTCACCGATTTTCTCCCACGCGTCGCGCCCGTGGCGGGCAGGAACCTTGCTGCAGGACCCGCCGACACAGGATACGTCGCGTTCAGAGTCCACCGAGCCGCTTGGTTTGAACGAGCTCCGGCCGGAAGCAGGCAACCGCGTCGTGGAATCTGTCTCAACGGCTCTTTCGGCGTGGGACGACGACGACAACAACTTGAGCGCCACGGCCAGCGACGGCGCCGCGGCGGCGGCGGCAGCGGCTGCGGCGGCGGCGGATGAGGCTCTTCGCTACTCTGAAGGCCCCGATACGGAAGATTCGAGCGAGGATGGAGGGCTGGAGACGGAAGAAGACAACGCGAACGTGGTTGTAGCGGGGCAGAACAGCATCGTGACTTTTAGCGATGAATCCTCGGAACTTGTAGCGGAAGAGAATCCTTCGGTTGTAGCAGAGGAGATCCCCACGGCTGTAGCGGAAGTCGCTGCGGCAGATAGCGACGTGGAGGAACGCGACAACGTGGCTGTAGCGGGACAGAACACGGTCGTGCTTCTTGGAGAAGTAGCCGCTTCGGCTGCCGTTGGCGACAAATCGATTACAGCAGAGATGGCGGAAGCTGACGCGGAGGAGAAAGCGGAATTTAAGGCGGAGATGAAGGCGGAAGAAGCGGCGGTGGAATCTGCGGAGGGGCAGGACATCGCGGCGGAGGTGGAGGCGGCGGCGGAGGAAGCCGCAGCCGCCGCTGCTGAGGCGGCGGCAGCTGTAGCCGCGGCCGCGGACGCTGAAACCGAGACGGCTGTAGCAGCGGACGCTGAAACCGAGACGGCTGTAGCAGCGGACGCGGAGTCTGTAGCGGGCGGCGATGCGGCGAGCTCAGGCGGCAGCGAGAGCCCAGCTGACGGCGAAACAGGGAATGTTCCTGCAGAGGGCTCTGCAACGGCGAGCGCTGAAGCGGAGAATTCTGCAACGGAGAGCCCTGCAGAGTCCCCTGGAACGGAGAGTTCTGAGACGGAGAGTTCCACTTCAGCGGAAGCTGGAACAGCGGAGTCTCATACCACTGAGGCAGCAGATACGGAGGCGGAACAACCTGCAGACTCGAATACCGGCACTGAAGAATCCGAATCTGGGAGCATAGGGAACGAGAGCAGCACTGGCAGCGAGAACGAGGGCGAAAATGAGGGTGCGGCTGCTGATGATGGTGTCACCACGAGGGCTCTGGGTGATGGGCCGACGGCGGAAGAGATTTTGCCGGAAGGATCGGACGGATTCGAAGAGGGGGCTACAGCTGTCGCCGTCCAGTAGAGACCGTGATAAACTTGGAGAGAATAAAGCAGCGCAAATACATCAATATGTACTATAGCTTGCCCGTTCGTGCACTGCATACAAGTAATAATAGGTTGTTCGTTCTTGCCCCTTCTCAGGGCATTGCTGCTAAAATGCCTTATGTCATGTGCTTGTGCTGCCGAATAAGCACCATATACCTTACCAATGATGCCAGCAACACCAAATGTACGCTAGACCTTCTAAGCAGATACAATACGAAGCTTATCTCCTACTAATGCAGGCTTAGGAGAGTAAAGACTGCAGGGGCCGCAGTAACCATCTGTCAGACCAGATAAGTACTGTAACGACGGATTGATTTGAAAAAGGAGCTAATATGGATCATTGATACAAAATTTGAGCTGCTCAAAAGTCAACTATCGAGGCACCCTGCAGCAGGGAGTATGCCGAGCCGCAAATCACACAAAACACGCACAATGTACACCCAAAATTCAGAAGCACAGAGTGAGGCACACATAACGAAGGACTGCACATGCAGATGCAGAGGCAGGTCGAGGAAGGGGCACTAGCAGCAGGTTCTGTAACTAGAACAAACGAATGAGAGTTATGGCAGACATGGAACACATTGTACATGGCCCCCTTTTTTGCCTTTTTCCTCACCCTAATCGTCTTCTCTTCACTTGTCCTCCTCTGCTCCCTCCTCCCTTCTCCCCTCTGCTCCCGGGTCGCCCTCCCCCCTCTACTTCTGCCGCAATGTTCTCATCGCTTCTATTCAGTGCACGTACTGTTCCTCCCCACAACACTTACTACCCCTCCCCATTCCTTTCACTGCCCCCCTTCACTCAGCAGCTGCTGCCAAAACGCCTCATCGTCAGTCTCCCCCTCCCCTTTGAACAGCACAGGAGCACTGTGACCCATCCCCATGCTCGCAGCTGTAGCAACCAGGGTGGCAGCTGTAGCTGCTCTACCTGCTAGAACAGCGTCATCAAACGAGTTGGCTGTAGCAGCTTTAGCAGGTGTAGCATCTGTTGCAATCGGAACAGCTGCAGCAGGTGTAGCATCTGTTGCAATCGGAACAGATGCAGCAGGTGTAGCCGATATGGTTGCAGGGAGTGAGTTCAAAGGGATCGGTGTTGCAGCTATCACAGGGGTGAGGGTTGCGGCAGCAAGGCTCGAAGCAGTGTGGGTTGAAGCAGTAAGGGTGGGAGCAAGAGTGGGAGGCAGAGTGGGAGGAAGAGTGGGGGGAAGAGTGGTGGGTAGAGTGGTGGGTAGAGTGGTGGGTAGAGTGGTGGGTAGAGTGGTGGGTAGAGTGGTGGGTAGAGTGGTGGGTAGAGTGGTGGGTAGAGTGGTGGGTAGAGTGGGAGGCATGGCAGATAGCAAAGCCCCAGCAAGAGGGGGAGGACTACGAGGGCACGGGTGGGGAGGAGCGAGGGTGGAGGTAAAGGGCACAAGAGCAGGACGCTGGGTCACACTAACCGCAGACTGGCGAGCGGGGATAGTGGGAGCGGGGATAGTGGGAGCGGGGATAGTGGGAGCGGGGATAGAGGGAGCGGGGATAGTGGGAGGAGGCATGGCAGTGGCCGTGCAGTGAGCTGCTTCGGCAGCAAAGAGCTCTGCTGGGGAGAGAGAGAGAGCTGCGGAGGAGAGGAAGGAGGCGGAAATTTGGGAGGAGGAAAGGTGGGAGGAGGAGAGGTGGGAGGACGAGAGGAGAGAGGAGGAGAGGTGGGAGGAGGGGAGGAGAGAGGAAGAGAGAAGGGGAGCAGATGAGAGGTGCAGAGACGAAGGCACGGACTGAGGTGGCAGTGCTGGCACCACCAGTGGAATTGACGTCACAGCCAACCCTCCTGACGTCATCGGTACAGGATTCTGGTCTATGGGGCGGAGAAGGCTTATAGGGCGGATGTGACCCGTGGGGGGACCTATAGGAGGGCCTATGGGACGGCTTATATGGCGGATGGGGCTGATAGGATTGATTGGGGAGGAGGCAGGGAGATTTGGGGCTAAGGAAGAGGTAAGGCTCGGTTTTCCCCCAGAGGCAGATGTAACTCCTGCTGATGCTGCTGCTGCTGCTACCGCCGCTGCCACTGTTGCCACTGCTGCTGCCGATGCTGACAGTGAGATAGGTGCAGAGTGAGAGTCTGAGAGAGGAGAGGAGTGAGAGAGAGGGAAAGAGGTAGAGAGTGGTGAGGGGCGCGAGAGAGGGGAGGAGTCAAAAAGAGGAAAAGAGCTGGAGAGAGGAGGGGAAAGGGATGCGGGTGGGCGTGCGATTGGCTGGGGCAAAGGCACGGGCAGAGGCACAGGCAGGGGCAGGGGGATGGGGAGGGGAATGTGGCAGGTGCGAACACCAGCTGATGCTAGCGCTGCTGCAGCAGCCGTTGCGGTGAACGCTGCTCCTGACCTTCCCACTCCAGCCTGCCTGGCTAGTCCCTTGGGTGTCTCAGAAGCGGCAGAAGCAGCAGCAGAGGCTGCAACAGCATTGGCAGTGAGTGCGGCTGATGTGCCGATTAAAGGCGGGGGAAGAGCAGCAGCTGCTGCTGCTGCTCGTGTCAGATTTGCTTTGTGAGCAGCAGCGGACAAAGCAGCAGCAGACATAGCAGCAGCGGCGGACATAGAACCTGTTGCTGCTGCTGCTGCTGCTGCTGCTGCTGCTGCTGCTGCTGCTGCTGCTGCTGCTGCTGCTGCAGGTGGCAGCATGGGCGGCACAAGCGGTGGCAACCCAGGGGGTGATAGGAGGGACGTAGTTGCGGACGCACCAAGACTCCGCACCCCAGACAAGCCACTTGTCAAGCCTGACGCTGCTCCTCCCAAACCTCCTCCTGCCGAACCTCCAACTGCCGAACCTCCAACTGCCGAGCCTCCTCCTGTCGATCCCAGGCCGGAGTTCCCTGCAAGTATACCCCCTGCCAAAGCTGCTGCCGCGCCCGTACTCGTGCCCATGCCCGTCCCCACTGCTGCTGCTGAAGCAGCAGCTGCTGGGCTTGATGCCGCCAGTGAGGCAGCGAGCGAGGCAGCCAGGGCCGGTACACTGGATGGTGCGAGCGACGCAGCAAGGGCAGGAACGCTTGATGCAGCTAGTGATGCAGCGAAGGCGGGTACACTGGATGGTGCAAGGGCAGGGACAGCCCGCACAGGTGACGCGCTAGCAGCAGCACCAGCAGAAGCAGCAGCTGCGGCTGCCACTGCTCTTATCTCTGCCGCTCTTAACTCAGCTGCTCTAATCTCTACTGCCCTCAAATTCGCCAACGCTGCTGATGTCGCTACAGCTGGAACAACTGCTGCAACATCAGACGTTGCTGCTGCTGCTGCTGTTGCTGTAGCAACTGCCTTTATCTGAGCTGCTGCTGCAATGGCTCGTATCTCCTCCTCTTCAGCCACTGCTGCTCTCCCTACTGCAGCTGTGGCAGCTGCTGATTCTCCTCCCCAGCCCCCACCATTCCCAGCACCCAACAGCCTTGCCTTCAGTCCAACACCCATGCTTGCTGCTGCCGCTGTTGCTGATGCTGTTCCTGCTTTTCCCAGTGCCGATGCAGCTGCAGAGGCAGAGGCAGGACGAGCGCCAAGCCCAAGCCGTTTCTGTTCCAGCAGCAAAAGCTGCTCCTCCTGCTGCTGCAGCAACAGAAGCTGCTGCAGCTGCTGCTGCTGCTCCCTCTGCTGCTCCACCTGTAACTGCTGCAACTGCTCCCTCCTTGCTGCCGCAGCTCCTCTGGTGATTATATCAGCAGGAAATTCACCGAAAATCTTGCCATCACCACCAGCAGCAACAGCAGCAGCAGCAGAAGCAGCAGCAGCACCGCCGTCAAACATCCGCTCATACATGTTCTTCTCTCCACCCAACTTCTGTCCATCGTCAAACCCCCCCCAGATACCACCAGCGTTCATGCTCCCACCAATGCCATCCAGGTTCAGGCTCCCACAAACGCCCTCCCCAAACACGCTGTCATACACCCCTTCTGCTCCTGCCACTCCTCCAAACGCCGCTGCAAGCTGCTCAGCAGTTGGCCCGCCCGGGGAGGAGCCAGTGAGCCGCCTTGAAAGGGGCCCTCCGAACTGCCCTGCAAGCCCCCCTGTATGCCCCCCTCCAAAGGTTCCCCCTAAGGTTCCCCCCAGGGTTCCCCCTAGCGACCCGCCTAGGGTGCCCACTAGAGACCCCCCTATGGGCCCCCCAAGGCCTCCTGAAGCAGCAGCGACGGCAGCAGTGGCGGCAGCAGCGCCCATGGGGGTTAGATACGACACCAGCTCCCCGCCTAGCACGTCAAATCTCTCCATGGTGAATCCGGGCGGCGGCGGGCGGTCGAACGGGTTGGTGAGCGGCTCGCTGAGGCCGTACTCGTTATAAGCGGCCTCAGGACTGTGATTCGGCTCGCCCTGTTCCTGCTTTTGCTGCTGCTGCTGCGTCTGCTTGGTGCTCGAGTTGTTGCTGTTTGCAATGGCCTTCTCAGCAGCAGCAGCATCCGCCTTACTTGCAGCAGAAGAACCCGCACCAGCAGCAGCCGCAGCAGCAGCAGCAGCAGCAGCAGCCGCAGCAGCAGCAGCAGCAGCAGCAGCAGCAGCAGCAGCAGCAGCAGCAGCAGCAGCAGCAGCAGCAGCAGCAGCAGCAGCAGCAGCAGCAGCAGCAGCAGCAGCAGCAGCAGCAGCAGCAGCAGCAGCAGCAGCAGCAGCAGCAGCAGCAGCAGCAGCAGCAGCAGCAGCAGCAGCAGCAGCAGCAGCAGCAGCAGCAGCAGCAGCAGCAGCAGCAGCAGCAGCAGCAGCAGCAGCAGCAGCAGCAGCAGCAGCAGCAGCAGCAGCAGCAGCAGCAGCAGCAGCAGCAGCAGCAGCAGCAGCAGCAGCAGCAGCAGCAGCAGCAGCAGCAGCAGCGCAGCAGCGGCAGCAGCTTCAGCCTTACTAAAAGCAGCGGTGGGTGTTAAGAGGTGATGCAGGTCGCTGCCAGAAAGCCCAGGGAGAAAGCTCCTGGAAGGTTCCCCACTGCCATGGTCAAACGCAGAAGCAGCGCCTTTTGCAGCAGCAGGATTGTTAACGCCCATGCTGCTGCTGCCACTGCCGAAAGCAGTCCCCTCCTCCCCACCAGCACCAGCAGCACCGGCAGCACCAGCAGCACCCATCCTGACACCGGCGCTGGTGCCGCTGCTGTTCTTATGGCGCTTGAAAAAGAGCTGTGAATGCATACCCATGCTGCCCGCCCCTCTCACGAAATACACCCCCCCTGCTGCCGCCGCTGCTGCTGCTGCTGCTGCTGCTGCTGGTGCTGCCTCCTGCTCTTTGCTGCCGTAAGGGGGGAACAGGTTCACCCTGGTTCCACCCTTCCCCACACCGATCCCTCTCACCGCTCCCAACTCCTCCACCTCCTCCACCCCCCCCATTTCCCCCATAGCCCCCATGCCTCCAATCCCAACGCCGCTATTGGTGTCCAATCCCATGCCGCTTCCCATGCCTATGCCTGTGCCAACCCCCATACCTGTGTTGATTCCACTGTCAAACCCGCGCTTGTGAGTGTTTCCAAGGTCCGTGCACCCATCCACATCCATCCCAACCGCTCCATTGCCACCATTACCACCAGCAGCACCACCAGCAGAAGCAGCGGCGGCAGCAGCAGCAGCAGCAGCAGCGGCAAAACCAGGGGCACCGATACCAGCCGCACCCATCCCAGCGGTAACCGCTTTCAACCACTCTGGACTCCCTCCTCCACCACCCCCAGCACCGATACAAGACCCCCCATGGCTGGTACTCCCATTCACACTCACATCCAGCCCGCTCCTGCTTCCACTCCTACTCCCCCGCCCGCTGCTGCTGCTTCTGCTCGGGCTGATGCTGCTCCTCTTCGGGCTGCCCTTCCCCACGCCTCCCCCTTTTCCCCTGATCCCCCCGGTCCCGCCGATTCCCCCGATCCCCCCGATTCCGCCGATTCCGCCGTTCCCCGCGCTCCCGCTTCCGCTGCTGCTGCTGTCGCGGCTGGCGCGCAGCAGCGCGTGTTGCTGCCCCTGCAGCTGCGCGATCCCCGCGAGGAACGTGGGGTTGTTGAGCGCGTGCGCGAGGAACGCCGTCATGTGCGCCTGCCGCTGCTCCTGCGCCGCCATGCTCGCCTCCAGCAGCGCGAGCTTCTCCGCGCTCGCCGCCGCCTGCTGCCGCGACCGCAGAAGCTCGCGCATCAGCACCCCGCGGTCGCGCCGCAGTTGGCTCAGCTCCTCGGTCAGCCCGAACGCGCCTAGCTCCACCGTGTTGTTCCCCGCCGCCCCCACCGCCCCCACCGTGTGCCCCGCCGCCCCCGCCCCCGCCCCCGCAGCGGAACGGCGCAGCAGTGCGCTTCTGTCCGCCCCGCCCCGCAGTTGGCTCAGCTCCTCCGCCAGCCTGAACGCGCCCAGTTCCAGCATGTTCCCCGCCGCCCCCGCCGCCGCCTCGGAACGGCGTTCGCGCAGCAGCGCGCCTTTATCCGCCCCCTCTGGCAGGTGGGTTGGCTCTTCCGCCAGGCCGAGTGCGCCCATTCCGCGCGCGCCCGCGTCAAGCATGCGAGTGGGCGCACTATACGGAGCCATGCTGCTGCCCATGCTGCCAGCTATGCCAGCTGTAGCAGCCATTCCACCAGCAGTCAAGCTTCCGGCCAATCCTGCCATTCCAGCCAACCCGGTCGTGCCAGCTGTAGCAGCCATTCCAACCGGCATGGCAGCAGCCGGCCCAGTCAAGCCCTCCATTCCAGCCACGCCAGTCACTCCAGCCACTCCAGTCAACGCAGTCAACCCAGTCAACGCAGACACAGCAGCAGCACTTGTGCCCCCCACCACAGCCGGGCTGTTCGCTGCCTTAACTGCACCCAGCCCAATGAGGGGGCTCACTCCGTTGGTGGGATAGGCTCCTCCATATATGCCATTCAGAGCCCTCATTCCGTTGACTCCGTTGACCGTATTGACTCCGTTGATTGCATTGACTCCGTTGACCGGGTTGACCGCATTGACCGCGCTCACTCCACTGACCCTGTTCACCCCGTTGACCACATTTACTCCGTTGACCGCGTTGACTAGAGCGCTTTCGTCAAACACTGTGCCGGCAGAAATCACCCCTCTTCTGACGTCACCCACCAGCATGTCCACGTCACCCAACAGCTGCTGCTGCTGCTGCTGCTGCTGATACCCCCGTGCAAGGAGCGAGGCAGACGCAGCAGCGGACGCGGCGGCGGCGGCGGCGGCGGCGGCGGGGGGTCGAAGCAGCAGAGGCAGCGGCGAAGGTGGAGGAGAGGGAAGAAGGCGGGGCGAGACGCGGGAGAATGGTGGCGGCGGCTACTGGGGGAGGTAGATCTGGGACGGGGTGAAGCGAACCGGCAATGGCAGCAGCGGAGCCTGGTAACGTTCCATTACTGCTTCCGTTTCCGTTCCCGTTCCCGTTACTGTTACCGTTTCCGTTTCCGAAAGTGGAGGCCTTGCGGCGGTGTATGGAGTGCAGCAGCTGCGGTTTGCCTCTAACGAAGCACTCATTAGCGAACTCCCAGCGGTCAGGGTCCACTTTGCGAAAGCCCTGCGGAGGGGAAGGACGGGAATGGTGCGGAGCGGAGGGGGAGCATTAAGAACACTACATAGGAGAGGGGGTTAGGGGGGTTGCGAGGGGGCGTGGAGGGGGTGGGACGGCGGGGGAAATGTTAGAGGGCCCTACGACAGCAAGGGCCCTCGACGATGTGTGTTGACTTGGCAGGTCGATGAACGACCAAGACTGTACGCGGCCCTGCACCGACCTTATGACGTCGTGTGACTATGATGGCGCTAATGAAGTCACTGCTGGGGTGGTGCTAGCTTAGGGAGTCGTGAGCGTGCTTCTTGGATGGTCTTGGTAGTTGTGGGTGATTCCCTGTGAGTCTCGCCATTTCTAGGTGTGTTGGGAGAATTGGCGAGCCCGGCATTGACTTCCCTGCTGAGTCAGGTTGGGATTGGCCGAGGCGCGGTTCACCCATCCACACGACAGTTTCGTGGGGTTGGGTTACTCCGCAGCGCCACGCCAACTTTGTGCAACTTCCCCGTAGCCTATATCTATCTTGTGTGTTTGCTTTTGTATTCATAATAATATTACAATCTCTACTCAACTTCTCACTTAGCCATTTGAGACAAGCTCTACCGAAACGCTACCGAATTCCTAGCGCAACATCATTCCCATAAGCAGAATCTCTCTCGCCGTCGTAGCGCTTTCCATAATATTCCTGCATGGTGCGGTGAGCGTGGAACGAACACGCATAGAATTCCGTCGTCGATTTTCTTAGCGTTCGTAAACTCGCCTTGGCGTGCGGCGTTAGTGAAGGGCGCATATTAAATTAAGTTGAACCTCTCTTAATTTCCCTCCAGTTACGTTCTCGGACCCAAGGATAGGGCGTTTGGTAATTTATTACCACTCGTCTGAGGACCCTTGTGAGGTGACCCCGAGACGAGGGATTTAAGGAAGGAACAATTTATTTTAATTTGTGGCACCTTATCGAGGCGTCGTAGAGGATGAGTTCGGAGGAGGCGGACGTTGAGGCCGTTAATTTTCGCGCACTAGAGGAGGAGCTCGTGGCACGTCGTTCCCGTGGCGAGCTTAGTAATGTAGATTACGAGCTCATGTTGGAGGGATTACGCTCTCGTCAGCGTCGCGATCATCCCTCGCCACATGTAGAGCAAGCTGCGGGAGGCACTAGTGCGTGGGACATGGCTGTCAATGACGGAGGTGACGATGACGAGGAGGTTGATGGGTTGATGTCGCGTGGGGTCCTGCGAGGACCAACTCGGTTTAGTACGACTAGCGTCGGCGGTGTACAGGAGCGTGTTCATCGTGCGGCGGCGTCACACGAGCGTACGAACTTAGGACGACAGAGCGCAGCTGGAAGAGGGAATGCGGAGGAGTACGATAGTGGAGCTATGCCGGGCATTACCCCGATTGGATCGATGTCGAGGGATGAGGGAATAGCCCCCAACTATGGCTACTTCAAATTCACTCCAGACAGAATCGTCGTGCCTAAGCCGCTCGAAGGACGCCACGACCTATCGACGTGGGTAGAATCGATCGAGCCGCAGCTTGAGATCGCTCAGCTAAAGCGATTCATTGACGGTACCACTCCTATTCCACCAACGCAGGCAGTTGCGCATCTCACTCAGTTCCGCGCAATGCAGTTACTGACGTTCACCACGATTTCCCGATGCTGCTCCCCAACCGTACAGATTGCCCTTAAGGGGTGTCGCATGAAGGTAGATGCCGGCTATCAGGCATGGCAGTTTATTATGCGCACGTACATGGCGAAGGACGATCTGTACATCGGTCAGTTAGAGCAGGCGCTCACTAACCTCGAGATGGGTGAGCACGAGTCCGCTACGTCCTATTGCAACCGTGCGCAGCAGATCCTAGTGAACCTGAGGATGGCCGGCGTCGATTACTCGCAGGCGTCGTACATTACTCACGTCGTGAAGGGGTTGCCGCAGCAGTACAACCTCTTACGCAGGATGCTGAAGCTGCCGCAGGTACGCAAGGAGTTGGACGAGGACACCCTCGCTAGCTACATTATCGAGGAGGAGTGTACGCTGGCAGCGGAGGGACGGAAGGACCAATTTCTTCCCCAGGCCAACCAGGTCTTTACCAAGAAGGGTAAGCCCCAATCCCAGCAGACTTCATCCCCTTCCCCTCCCACTACGGCACAGCAGCAGCAGCCTAAGACTGGGGGTGGGGTTGGAGGTGGAGGAGAGAAGTGGAAAGGGGCTAAGGATGGTCAGCCAAAGGGGGGGAAAGGTGGCTTCAAGGGGAAGTGCTACGTGTGTGGACAGACAGGGCATGTTGCTAAGTACTGTCAGCAGCGGGCAGATAAGGAGGCAGACACGGGTGGAGAGGGTTCTGGAGGCAGCGGCGCGAGTGGCAAGGGGGGCGATGGCTCTAAGGGGAGCGGGCAGTCATCATGTGCGATGGTGAAGCCCGTTGTAGAGCAGACTCCTCTTGTCGTGCTGGAGCCTGAGGCCGGGGAGGGCTTACAGGCTCTTGCAGCTGCTGTGAAGGCGAACCCGAGCGTCGTGCTACTTGATAGCGGATGCTCCCACCATCTCATGGGAGATCGTTCTGCCTTTGTGGAGATGAGCAGCGGCGGTAGTATCAAACAAGTGAAAGGCTTCAACGGCGCGCTTCAGGACGTGCAGGGGCGAGGCACAGTCGCTCTTCTTGGAGAAGGGGGCAGGCGTGTCTTGGTGTCAGACGTGCTGTACGTGCCTGGAGTGCAGGCGAGTCTTCTTTCTGCTGGGCAGCTGCGTGATAGTGGCGTGCAGCTGCTGGATGCAGGCGACGTGACTCTGCTGCGGGCACCAGATGGGTCGCTTCTTGGGCGTGCAGAGTTCAAGGGGCGTGTTCTCTGCACGAACTTCCAACCGTGTTTGTCGCAGCAGCAGGAAGGCGAAACGGTGGCACTTCGTACCTTGACGACGGGCGTGCGGTCTAAGGTGGACATGTGGCATGCGCGTATGGCACACGTTGGTATTGATGCCATCGAGCGCACTGCGTCTCACGGGTCAGTGAAGGGCTTGGACCTGGAGAAGGGGGGCAAGTCAGGCATACCGTGTGTCTCCTGTGTTGGGGGGAAGATCACTCGTCATACCTTCCCGTCAGTGGGTGCGGAGGAGGATGAGTTGCTTGGAGTGGTGCATGCTGACCTGTGTGGCCCTTTCCGTGAAACAGCTAAGGACGGCAGCCGCTACTTCCTGGTGCTGAAGGATCGCAAGTCGCGGTACGTCTGGGCCTACCCCTTGGCTCAGAAGAGTGATGCGCTGGCGGCGTTCCAGAAGTGGCTCCCGATGGCAGAGCGGCAGTGCAAAACCACGGTGCAGGCGCTGCGCACTGATCGGGGTGGCGAGTTCTTGGGGCATGACTTCATGCTCTTTCTCGACGGCAAAGGCATCATCCATGACCTCACGTGCCCGTACACGCCGGAGCAGAACGGGATGGCCGAGAGGGAGATGCGCAGCATTGTGGAGGCGGTGCGGACGATGCTACTGCACATGGGTGTACAGCATCATTGGTGGCACCTGGCGTTGGCGCAGGCCGTCTGGGTGCGCAACCGCGTGGAGCACGCCTCGCTGCCCTCTGGTGTGACGCCGTACGAGCTCGCCTTTCGACACAAACCCGATGTCAGTATGGTGCGGGTATGGGGCTGCATGGTGCAGTACATGGTGCCTCAGTCGCAGCGTGGGGGGAAGCTGGCACCAAAGGCTCGCTGGGGGTTGCACTTGGGGGTGTCCGCAGCGAGCAAGGGCTGGACTGTGCTGGACTTGGAGTCCAACCGCCTCATCACCACTGTGGAAGCTGTTTTCTATGAGACCATGTCCCTGGCAGGATGGAAGGCTTGGCACCAGCAGGAGCATGCGGGGCGTCCGATGCCCTATGAGCCCGTTCCCTCCCTCTTCCCGATCACTCTTGAGGAGGCGGTGGCGGAGGAGGAGGTGGTCGCACCTCCTGCTATGCCCTATGTCCCTACCTCGGTCCCCACCCCACCTCCGCCTTCAGTTTACCCTCGTGTGGTTCCCCCTGCCCCACCTTCTTCATCCTCACCCCCCTTGGCTTC